CCAATTCTAGTTCGTTTCGCCTATCGATTCGCCTTCTCATTGGCTCACCTGGTGGTGCTCTCAGGTTCTCGCGTCAATTGAACGAGTGTGGAGCACAGGAAAGTGACAATTTGTCAGCTCACAGGCATGCTGCAGTCCCGATACAAGTTGAGGGATTGTGGGGCTAGATGAGATCTAGTGAAACCACCAAACTCTCCTGCTAGACAGAACGACGAGGAGCTATCGTGGGATGGGGCAATCGAAGCAGCTTGGCGACGACTTGACAGAGCTTGTTCCAACATTACCACCATCTAACTCTCCTACACCACAATCTATAGAAATTCTACCATGATGTCCTACTGGCTACCTTAAGATCTAGTCAAGCCATTTACAATTCTGTGTTCATGAATTCACGGATTGCGGACATTTGACGTCACATTAACAAGCGTTGAGTTGGTGTTTTATCAGCTATGTTAAGAGGTCGTACGGTATGTTAGGATGCCACATCCACTGCTGGCTATTTTTAACACCTGTCGTGGAGTTGGTTCCACCCTTGAAGTCTCAACCACCACCAGTCGGCAATTGCAGCAAATGGTGAAGATGCGTCACTCCAGCACCCCATGACACGATACAGCCGAGGAATTTCGGCAGAGCTTGTGGAGGGTAGGCTGGATTGTCTGGCCCTCAGGCAAACATCTCGAAATTCACCTTCTCTGCCAACACCTCCAACACAGCTGACGAATTTGCAGTGTGGTTTGATTTGAATTCTGCCACTTCGGATTCCCTGATGAGCTTGTGTTTCTGTGGCTTTCGGAAGCATTTCGTGGAATACGCGCACCAAAGCGCCCTATCTGTGCGCGATTTGGGGGCTGTTCGAGAGGGACGAGGAGGGGAGGGGGTGGGAGGGGGAAGCAGACGCTTATGTGAGTGTCGCTTATTTTGATTTATGAAGGGGAGGAGGTGTCGACAATCCAGCGGCATTCTCTTGGCAGTGGTCGTGTGATTGGAGCAGCACTGGCATAACCAAACCACAGTCTACAACACGCCAAATGAGCACACCAGTTACCACGCAGGACCCATCACATCCTCGTGGCCACAGTTCAGAGACGGCTCCTCTCAGGCAATCGTTTATTTCAATAACTGCTGAATTAGTTCTTCTGTTGATTGGAGCTGCTTAGTGACAATTGTCCTGTGCCCAACATTCCCGTCTGTTCCGTGTTGCCCCAGATGAGTTGTAGTGGGTGGTTGTAGACGAGAAGGCGGCATTCGAAGGCATATTTTTGTGGGGTTCACTCGTGCGTTAATTTGCGAGGTGGGTTGGTGGGGGGATGGCTGGGTTGACAACTCAGTCACCCAGTGTGGCAGATGAGGACAACAGCAGAAAAAAACGTGCCCACCACCGCCACCACCACCACCATCATCGAATTATCTTGTTGAACTGGTCACAATTTCAGCAGACCATTCTGCCTGTGCTTCAACTTCCATGATGGAGAGGTCTGTCATCAAGCAGATGAACGACCGTCAGGCGTGACTTAGGAGTGAAGAAGATGGTTTCCGTGTGAAGTCGTGGTTGCGCTGTGCGTTGATTCGTTTCTGAGATAGGCAGCAGCAGCAGCAGCAGCACCACCACCACCACCACCAACTCCCTCCACCTCCGTGATTTAAGCCCCCTTGTCCTCCTACAAAGCCCCTTTGTGGATTGGTGCTTGGACCCCGGAATTGTTATCGTCACCTAGTCCATCCTGCCACTATCGCTCACCTTCGGCAAGTGAAAATTCTAGTAAGACTCTGCAGTCGTGTGATTCAGACATTTGACTGAGCACCATTATGCCGACTTACCCGGCAACTGCTGGTCAGTTCGGTGCATGAAATATCTTCGAGCACAGACTTGTTCCAGTAGCACAGATCTAACTTTATTCAAACTAATTTCTGCCATCTCGAGAATCCTTTCTCTGAGTCAATTCACACTTGGCGTTTTGACTGCTCGCATAATCCCGATTCGGGCTTTGCGCTTCAGCCGTGAGATTTGAACGGAACAGTCGCGTCGTCAAGACAGCCAACGATGTCGCAGACTGGCTTATTCTTTTTTTAGCAATCTGGAGTCAGATCAGGTTCCACAAATGTCTACACTTGCTCAAACGCCATAAATGTCATCTGCCATTCGCGCGTTTTTTGCGAACAAAGTCGCCCAGGTGCGAATTTTTCGTATATATTGCTTCATTAAGGCCTGGAGTTGTTTGAAAACCCAGGAGATTCTCTTGCGATTTTAGATAAATCCATAATTATCCTTAGGAATTAGGGCTAGTGGTACCATCTGATTGGTTGATAGCAGAGGCGCATTTGCAAAGCGTCGCAATCAGACCACAAAACAGCCAAGTTAACATAGAACAGCGCAATTTCAATGATTCCAAATTTTTCCCTTACGTAAATCAAAACTAAGTTGAGCTGCTAGTTGTCCTTTAATTAAGGCTTGGTTTTCCTGCTCGCTACTGCGATGCGTGTTAACGACGTACAAATCTGTGCGACCCCTGGCCATATTTGACTACTTAATTATTGTCAATAGGCAGAAAATTTGCGTTGCACATTGCATGAAGCCACGAATGCATTCAGAACCGAGATTTCAAGGTCATTGTAGAAAACTGAATCTGCCGCATAGAGGTCACACGTTGATTGGTCGCCCGAAGGGTTTCATGCCATCATATGATAGAACCCATTGTTCCACATCACGCCAAACTATTGCGTTTTCGGAATTTACTGTCAAACTTGCTCATCAAAATTCGCGTTAATCTCTAATTTGTGATTTAGTAAAAGAAACCACAATCGGCCAGCGCGTGTAATTAACATAATTAAAATCCATCCCATTATTTGCATTGTTTTAAACTTGACATAACAGAGGTAGGAATCGACGAACAGAATTTGCCTGTTGGGTTTTTATCGGTCATGCTGATTTGATTAACTCCAATCCTGAAATCACACTGTGGTGTGATACCCGACCTTCACACGCACCAATCAGGTGTAAGTTCCAGCTGACGTTCAAGTCCAATATATTTAGCAGCACTTATTTAAACAACATTGTTTCAAATGAATAAAAGTCACATTAACGAGAAAAAAAAGGAGACAGTAGAAGCCAAGCAAAGTAAATGCTGAGTGCGTTGGAGTTACACAGCACCCGTGAACGAGTGTTTCTCGTTGACTGGGTCGTGTTCAAGGGGCCCTTCGAAGAAGCGCTGGCGTCCAGAACTGGGACTGATGACTAGCGGGTTGGCGAAGTCGTGCTGAATAAATAGGGTGCATGCCTCACCGTAGTAATCGGGCTCACAGATGCACTTTTCTTCGGTAACACGAAATCCACTGTCGTCCAACCGCGTCTGCAGAATGCATCGGCCGTGGGAGCAAGTTGGTGTTCCACTTGGGCACTCTGAATGCAGTCTGCGACTAAAATTTGCGCACAAACGCGTGATGTTTTGTTTAAATTAACCAATTACTTTTAATCAGCTGGAGCCTGCCGCAATACTTGAGTTGTTAGCTTGTATTTAAATACTGGGCATCAAATCGAAGAAAGCTTGCCTCAGTAGCATCAAGCTCATGTTGCATGAGGGATTATAAACCGTGTTTGTAGACTACATGCGTTTTAACTTCTATCTGTAATCACCGCGTTATTTGAATGTATGAAATAGGATCAACTGCAAGACGAAATTATGGAAATTTTACCTTTCAGCAGATAGTAGGCCAGTCATGAAAATGAGGAGACCCAAGAGCGAGATAGATGACCTGAACATGATGCTGGATTAACTGTTAATGAGGCAACGTAGTTAAGGCTGATTTTTTATACTTGCTAGCGCACGCACACACAAAGCGACATTGGCCATTCTTCGCGTTGTGATTGGTGGAGAGGCATCCGGGTTGCGTGGGCGACAACAGCGCTGGCATTCTATTGTGTGTACCCCAAGGGTCGTTGGGCGCAGCCTTTGTGGCCACGTGTGTTACGTTTTGCCCCAGTTATACGGCTAGGCGGCACACCAGGCAGGGCTGTTCCAGGTGCCCACAGGGTCTGGGATGACTGCAGTGCATGTTTCGTTGCCTCACGATAACTGGTTACGGAGGCTGACTGACTAGCTCGCCCATACCTGACTCGATAGCTTTGCAGGTGCAACAATTCCGCAAGAATGATTAAAATTTCCTACCTGCCTCCAAAAGCCTGTCTGAGGTTGTCTTGGCATGGTTTTGCAGTTGCCATCTGCTATTGCGTTAATCTACGCGCTGGAATGGCGGGAATTTTTATGCGTGTTCGCATTGGCTGGTAATTACATCTGAAATTACTGAAACGCACATCTCTAAAATTCCTTTGGTGCATTAAATCCACTTCTACACAGCAGCTTCACCTGTCTTATCGATCGCAGCACCACAGAAATTTTCTGAATTTATTTTTATTGTAGAAACTTGAAAAGACAAATCATGACCTGGGAAAATATGAGCTAGTCATTTTCCTATCACATTGTGCTTTGATAATCCTGTTTAGTTGTCTTGACATTCAGAGACCACTTTGTTTAGTTTTCGTAAAAGAACCACCATTTTTTAATTGCCCGCGCTTTTGACTGTCCAATAAGAAGTGACTTATTGGGATGGCGATCACTGAAAAATAGTTTTGACATCGCACAATCAGGAATTCATGCTACAGCAAGCTGACTTTCATTTTTATTGAGATGTTGACTGCCTCCCTCTGTGGGGCAAGGACACAGAACCCAATTGAGTGGCGTTGCAGGAGGTAGAGGCGACATGTCGATGGCGCATTTTGATTCAGGCAAAAAAACGTGATGATTAGAAGCTGTGAATTAACACTTCACCTTCCAGGGCTCAAGCGAGCAGATACCTCTTGGGAGGATTTGGCTCCGTGACGTAAATCCCCCCTCGAGGTGGTCACGTAAATCCCGTGATCCCCCACTCCAAAATACTTGTTGCTAAGCCAGACTCCGTGGGGCTGAGTCATTGTTTGGGTTGTGTGCGGGGAGGGAGGGGGGTCAGCGGAACTCGGAGACAAATCAAAATGACGCTTTCGGTGTCGTAGCCACTCGGTCCATTGTGTTAACGGCACGAGGATTGTAAGGTTGATCAGCGTGCCAGTCCCTATGACAGCGACGGTGAACGACAACTGCTGGTGATAATGACGATAGTTGATCGCATCGGTCCTAGTCAAGTGCTGCACGTGATTCAGCACTGTGGCTGCAGTGACAAATGTCGTGCATCCGGACACGCATGATGTCATTTCACACAACTGGCAGTGTGCATTGTCACGTGTGAAAAACTACCATCTGACAAGGCAGCCAAGAGATGGCGACGAATATTAAAAAAAAAAATTTTTCTGAAACAAGACATTAGCAAGTCCACTTTGTCGCCAGCTTAATGCGTTATTTTGAAGCTCCTTCTGACCCCTAGTTTGGGCTGTTTTGAGGTTTGGAAAAATTAACCGTGTGGATTAGTCGAATGAGCCACACACAAAGCAAGTGGCGATTTGTTTTTCTTTGCTTAACTCGGGGAATTAGACGGGATATTGCCGTAATTTAAGGGCTTCTCGGATGCTTCTAATTAAGCTTCTGGTTAATTCTCGGAAAGTTAACCAAAATGTGAGCGAGATTTCCCAGCCCGCCATTCTTACGATAGTTTGTTGATGTCTTAGCAAGAGGCTTGGTAACTGTTTCCTTTCCACAATTTTCGTTTGCAGGGCATGATGACGATCGTAATCGTAAGACTCGATTTTGATTCGTCCACTCGACGAGCCAATCAATAATGTTCATCCTCAAAGGGTCCCCAAAAACTGCTGCATGTCCGGGAAAATTTCCCTTCGATGACAAAATTAGTACACAGCCTAAATATTTAGTCAACAGTTCACAGGAAAGCTAGCCAATGCAAGGATTTTCGAATTAACCAAAAATCGATGTCATCTATTTCCTGATTGGGTGAAGGTGATTTTTAAACCAATGAGATTTATGAATGATATTTAGTACTAAACTAACTGCATTTACATTTACTGCGAGCTGTTAGTTAAAGCAACAGGTAAAATTATTTAAGATTCGAGAAACAAGACTAGATTTGAATCACTCCCGTGTTTGACCTTGATGAAATATCTATCCCTAATTAAGCAGTGAATGACGTGAGTTATCAAATTTAACTTAACGCAGTTATTTTAAGCACGTGGAAATGCTTTTGACGAATAAGCAAATACAGCAAAAGAGTTCTAAGAAGAACTGTCCAATCACTGCAAAGTCTCCGATTCTCTTTCCTTTAGACGCTTTAGGAATGGATTTTGGCTAGCTAAAACGTCATTTGCCAGTTCTTTAGTCACAGTCAGTTGGGAAGGAAGCAAGAGAGCCACCAGGCTAGAGTGGAGTCTTGATAGCCTGCACACCTAACGACAACACACCTTCGCATCAGGCAATAATAGAGGAAAGAGACACTTTTTCCTCGATCTAGTCGGAAATGGTTTGTCGGTACCAAGTCAAACCAAAATTCGCTCCCACTACAGTTGGATTACGTCAGTTTGCGTGGTAGATTCAACAGATAAACGCGAAAATAGCTAGCGGTAAACCACTTATGGTCATAAAGTACGCTAATGGTGGTGGTGGTGATGGTGGTGGCGACATTCGCTGTGGTCCAACTAAAAACTCTGCTCAAAGGGCAAGTGTGCACACACACACAGACCTTGGCCTCGGTGTGAGCACTCGCCATTCTCAGCCGAGCAGACCTCGAGAATGGAGGCGTTCTTGGATGTGTTCTACTCAATCTGTGCCAACGGTTCTGGTAAGTACACGGCATCGGTTTTGTTTATTTCGTTCGAATGTGATGTGCTGCCTTGACTAGCACTGGGGTACATGCAATAGTTTACACTACCCACGTGGGTGGAATGACTAATTGAATCCGGTAACCCCGACGAAGATATTTTATGCACCGAACAGACCAGCAGTTGGTAGACAGGTTGGCATAATGGCGTTCAGTCAAATGTCTGAATCACACGACTGTAGAGTCTTACAAGAATTTTCACTTGTTGGTGGTGATCAATGGTGGCAGGATGGGCTAGGTGGCGACAATAATTCCGGGGTCCAAGCACCAATCCACAAGGGGGTTCGTAGGAGGACAAGGGGGCTTAAATCACGGAGGTGGAGGGAGGTAGTGGTGGTGGTGGTGGTGGTGGTGCTGCTGCTGCTGCTGCTGCTGCTGCTGCTGCCTATCTCAGATACGAACCAACGCACAGCACAACCACGACTTCACACGAAAACAATCTTCTTCCCTCCTAAGACACTCCTGACGGTCGTCCACTTGCTTGACGGCACATCTCTCCATCATGAAAGTTGAAGCACAGGCAGAATGGTCTGTTGAAGTTGTGTGACCAGTTCAACAAGATAATTCGATGATGGTGGTGGTGGCGGCGGTGGTGGGCACGTTTGTTCTGCCGTTGTCCTCATCTGCCACACTGGGTGACTGAGTTGTCAACCCAGCCATCCCCCCAACAACCCACCTCGCAAATTAACGCACGAGTGAACACCACAAAATATGCCTTCGAATGCCGCCTTCTCGTCTACAACCACCCACTACAACTCATCTGGGGCAACACGGAACAGACGGGAA